TCCTTCCTTCCTTCCTTCCTTCCTTCCTTCCTTCCTTCCTTCCTTCCTTTCTTTCTTTTTAGTTAGTTGAATCAAGGGTCTGTCAGTTTTGTTTATCTTCTCGAAGAACCAGCTCTTAGATTTGTTGATTCTTTGTATTGTTTTCTGTGTTTTTATTTCATTAGTTTCAGCTTTGATTCTTATTGTTTCTTGTCATAAACTGGGTTTGGATATGATTTGTTTTTGTTTTTCCACCTCTTTTTGTTACATCATTAAGCTATTTGTTTGCACTCTTTTTGATTTTTTTAATGTAGACACTTAGAGCTATAAATTACCCTGTATGGCAGGGTACCCTGCCCTCTCTTAGAACTGGAGGGGGAGGGGAGAAAGGAAGGGGGAGGAGGGGAGGAAGTGGAAATTTTGATTGGTATTATTTATAAAGTAATAAAAATATGATTTAAAAATAAATAAATTTCCCAGTATGACTGCTTTTAATGTGTCCCCGAGGTTTTCATTTTCACTCAGTCCCAGAAAGTATTTTCTATTTCTTTCTTGATTTCTTCTTTGGCACACTCATTGTTTCATGAGTGTTGTAATATCCACGGTGTGTGTATTTCCTAGAGGTGTTTTGTTTTGCTGTCAACTTTAAGGTTATTGCACTCTAGTAAGATAAGCTATAAGCAATGATTTCAATCTTTAGGAATATGAACGCATTTGTTTGTGTTACAGTATGTGGTCTGCTTTTTGAAAGTGTCCGTGTACTGCTGGCGAGAATGTGAATTCTTTGGTGTTTGGACAGAATATGCTGTAGATATCTGTTAAGTTCTTCTGATGTGTGAAGGCAATCAATTTTGATGTTTTTCTGTTTTTGTTTTGTCCAGGTAACCTGTACATTGGAAAGAGTGGGATATTGAAATCACCTACTATTGATGGATTGGTGTTAATCTGTGTCTTCCAGTTACGGATATTTTCTGAGATTGGGTAACCCGGAGTCTGGTGCATATCTGCTTAGAATAGTAATGTCTTCCTGCTTATATGTTCCCTTGATTTTTTCTGATTCGTTTCATTTGATGATATTTTGTCAAATGTTAGGATAGTGATACCTTCTTGCTTCCTGGTCCCATTTGTTTAGAGTACTTCAGTCCAGTCTTTCATCCTGTCTTTAAAGGCAATACCTGTCTTTAAAATTAAGCTGTGTTTCTTATAGGCAGCAGATATGTGCGTTTTGTTTCTTGATCCATTCAGTCTGTCTGTGTCTTTTGATTGGAGAATTGGGACCATTGCTATTTCAATGTGTGTTAGTTGTAATTGTATTGTTGATTTTTGGTCTTGTTTGTATTCTTGGCGGCATTTTTTGTTTTAGTAGCTACCACTTTGTATTCCTTTTCACAGTCTCTCTCCTATGTTCATTCTCTTCACCCTGAAATAATGCTTCCTAGATTTTCTTTAGGCTTGAATTTTGGGACATACATTTTTATTGGGAGATAATGTTGTGGAAAGTTTTGCTTTTCTCTTTAATCATGGTAGATAGTTTTGCTAAATATATTAGTCTAGGTTTTTGTCCTTTGTTTTTAGGACCTGGTGTGCATTGCTCTAGACTCTTTAGGCTAAGAAAGTTTTTATAGAGAAATTAACTGCATTCTGATCGATTTCCATTTATATCTAACTTGCATTTTTTTCTCCTGTACCTTTCAATACAGTTTCTTTGTTACTTAGCATTTTAAGAATGGTATGCTATGGGGATTTCTTTCTGGTCTTGTCTATATTGTGTTCGGTGTGCTTCTTATATTCATATGGGTGTGTCTTTTCTTAGTTTATGTACATTTTCTTCTATGAGCTTATTTAATACATGCTTTATGCCACTGACTTGGGATTTGTCTCCCTCAAGTATGCCTATAATTCAAAAGCTTTTTCCTGTGCTTTTAATTTTCTCATGTTTGTTGCTTATTTGGTTTGGATCCTCTATTTTATCTTCCAGACCTGATACCCTGTCTTCCATTTGATTCATTCTATTTGCTAGGCTTTCCTTTGAGTTCTCTAGTTGAGCTACTGAGTTTTCAGTTCCATCTTCATTTCCGCTTGAGTTCTCGTCGGTGTTTCTGTTTCTCTATTTAATTCTGCCGTCACGTCCTGGATCGCCCTCATCGTTTCCATCAGCCTATTATGTTTGTGTTTTCTTGGGCACCACTTAAGCTCTTTCTCATTGATTTCACTGAACGGTTTCTTGTGTTTTCTTTAAACTGCTTGAATTCTCTGAGGAGCTTTATACTTTTTCTTTTAATTTCTGTGTCCTGGAGTTCATCTAGGTAAGTTTCATGGGCAAACATTTCTACAGCACTGGTGGATTTTGGAGAGAAGATACCAAAGCAGGCTTGGATCTAGAGATTGCAATGGCCACAGGTAGGCAGAGGAGACTGGCCTGGTACACAGGACGTACTTCTTGTTCCAAGCTGAGAGTGTGGGGATAGATAGGTCTGAACGGGAAAGTTGGCCATGACCTGGGAGAGTTGTGTTGTGTGGCAGTTGGGCATGGAGGATACTGGACCAAGCCTAGAGATCCTCTGCAGTGAAGGCAGCGGAGGCCTGACCAGGCTGGTGCACTCATTGTGGGAGCAAGGCTGAACCTCGTAGTCGGTAGAGAGGGTGTGGATGAAGAGGTCAGTGGTACTCACCAGGACAGACCCTGGAGGAGGACGTGGGTAGTCTGCACATGGCATGGGGTTGTGAAGACCGCATGAATGATGGTAGACTAAGTCTTGGTGGAAGACTAGATGTTGATTGTAGTACAGGAGGAGGTTGTGGGACTAGGTCAGGTCATGGGATTGGGGACCCTTGTGAAAGCCTCAAGGTCTCTACTACAAGTCATGGGCCTTCAGACTTGGCTAGAGCACTGGCTGTAGGACCCAGGCTCTATCTGACATGATGTGGCAGACAAGTATTGGGGGTACTCACCAGGCTAGACCCTGGAGGAGGATGTGGAAACTGGTATGGAGTGGGGTGGTAAAGGCAACACAAAGAGTTCTGGGAGTGGATCTCAGTAGGTTTTTCCCTTTGATGAATCCTGATGGTTTGATTCTTCAGTATTTAAATAAATGTTGTTACTTTCTATGTACTTGTATTAGTCACTTTTTGTTGCTGTGACAACATAGAGCATCCCATAAGGAATTCTTACTATTATAGAACATGGCTACTTTCTTCGGTAGGCATTCTTTCGAGACAGCAGTAATCTCCATTGGGAATGGTTTACTCCTTAGCTCTTCTTATGAACACAGGATCTTTACTCCTGGGCTGCTTTGTTGCACTCCTTTTCTTTGTCACAGTAAGGGGGCAGCCTGACCCAGGAGGGAGATTAGGAGGACAGATTGAGACATGTATCTGAGTGGGAAGGCCAGTTCATCTCCAGATCCAGTTTCTTGGTGAGGCAGTTTATCAATATAACGTGTTTGTGAATATGTGTGTGTGCATGTATGTGTACATGTGTATGCATGTGTGAGTGCATGTATGTGTGCACATCTGTGCATGCATCCATGGGTCTGTGTGTGTGTGTGTGTGTGTGTCTGTGTGTGTGTGTGGCATTTGCTTCTGTATAGAACTAAAGTCAATGGTTTACACTGCATAGGATTTGCTGTGGAGTCCAGTGAAAAGTGAATGGGCCCAAAGCACCTCCTTCTTATGACCTACATAAAATTCAAGTCATGAGTTCTGTGTTGTGCATTGCAAAAATGCTGACAAGGGACAGAAAGCATCTCATCCCCCCCCCCTTTTGGTGTGCTATAAGAGACAAAACCCTTGACTTAGGTTCCTTTCTGATTTCTTTAAATTTTGTAAGGTGGCAACTATATGCCACTCTGTACTTATGATAAGTATGTCACCTTGATGAAGGTGACAGCACTCTCTGCCTTTGTTGGTGTCTGACTTGATATTGTCCCTGACTAGTCTTGAGGCGGCCAACTACTTGAAAACCTATACCCAGTTTGTGTGTGTTTGAAATGGAGGGTGTGACGTCAGAAGGGGCAACAGTAAATAAGAGTGCTTCAGAGGAGGGTTCAAAAATACTCTAGAACATAGACACTTTAGGATAAAATTAAATAAATGATCAGCCTAGCAAGCTAACATTTTCTAACAAAATGCATTCCTAACGTAAGCATTTTTAAACTGCAGATTTACTTTAAAACAAGAGGAGGAGAAGAGAAAAAATGCTGACTGGGTTTATGAAAAAATGAAGGTGCAGCTAAGAGAAAAAGAAGAGCAGTATAATAAAGAAATTAAAATGAAACAAAAACTTGAAATACATGTTAGAGAACTGGATGTGGAATTGAAGACTGCGAGAAATAGTCTTAATAAAGTAAGTTAATCATATATATAAATAAAATTTGGTTTTGTTTTTATCAATATTGTTTATCCCTTTGGATATATTGAATATAAACATACACAATCGTGTGTTACTTACATATGGGACTTGATCTGAGAAATACATATTGATTTGCAGTCATCAAAAGTGTGCACTCACGCAAGTGTAACCCATCTAACTCATCACCCAGGCAATGCCTTATGGCGTCTTTGAGTGGAATGGAGACTTCCTTGGCTCTCTTTTTATGCTCACTAGGGAGGCTTGGGTCATGCAAACTCAGTTGTGTTCAAAGCCACCCTGAGCCAATGGCTTCCAAGTTCATTGTTTCATGCCCACAAAGAATAAGGAAATGTAGACACAGAAAAATAAAAAAAAATACAGATTCATTAAGGAAAATTGAGAATGAATTCACCATACTAGGACAGGCTCCAAAAGAGAAACACCCTTGTGCTGCTCTGATCGTTTGTGTTGCCTTGTCTTTCATGGGTTTTATAGAGAGAATTCAATGGAGCCTGAGTAGGCTCACCAGGGATTTGGTCTTTTCTGTGCACATAATGGGCCCAGCTAATGAGAAATCTATATGTCCTGTGCATGCTGTCTTGGCTCTACCTAAGAACTTTTTATCCAGTCAGGGAGGGGGTCACATGACTAGTTGGTGATCAACCATGGGTCCTGCCCACACTACCAAAGTGCAGCTAGCTCCTGTCTAATTACAGGACCACTGTGTTTTCTTATGTTTTAGTGATAGGAGTGGTGGGCTGCGTTCCGCTGCCTGGCTCACGGCTAGCTTTATCTGAAATAATTACACGGAAACTGTATTCATTTAAACACTGCCTGGCCCGTTAGTTCTAGCCTCTTATTGGCTAACTCTCACATCTTGACTAACCCATTTCTAATCTGTGTAGCACCACGAGGTGGTGGCTTACCAGGAAAGATCCTAATCTACATCCGTCTGGGGTCAGAGAATCATGGCGTCTGCCTGACTCTGCTTTCTCCCAGCATTCTGTTCTGTCTACTCCGCCTATCTAAGCTGCTGTCCTATCAAAGGCCAAGACAGTTTCTTTATTAACCAATGAAAGTAACACATAGGCAGAAGACCCACCTACATCATTATGTGGTAAATGACAATACTATTTAGGTTCTAAATAAAAATTGTGTCATCAGAGTGCTGGAAGTTGTCTAAGGGGCTTGACAAGCTCATTCCCTGGGATGAACAAAGAATTGAGTGAGCATCTAAGAAAAAGCAAAAGACCAAGCAATAGAGAAAGCAAGAAAGCCAAAGCAACCCCTTGGAATGGGAGGGTCTCTAAGGCTGGAAGTCTGCTAAAAGGCTCTGGGTTAGATATTCTCTAGGGCCTCTAAGTCCTCCCTGTTCCCCTATTGATCAAAGTCCAAGTAGATGGTCTTGGACTTACATGGCCATTTTATGAAGTGCTAATGGTCTGAAGACCTTCATTGAGTCCGTTCAGAGCTCCAGTATCATCTTCAAGTATCTTTAGACTGACGTTCTTGAGCTCACCCATAGTCTAAAATGACCTTGAACTCCTAATCCTCCTGGATCTGCCCACTGGGTTCTTGCATCACCAGCAACGTGCCACAATTTCTGATTTTATAGTGTGTTCTGAACGGAACCCAGGGCCTCATGCAAGCACTCTGCCACCTGTTTTGTTTTTACTGCCAAAAAAGCTGGCTATCATTTATGTGATTAAATGATGACTAATTCATGTGGGAGACAGGTTCTTGTGGATTTGATCCACTTTTTGAACATTTTTTTTTCAAAGTTTGTCCCTTAATATGGTTTTAGACTCCCCTCCCCCCTTATCTCGTCACGTGGTATAAGAATAAATCCTTCTCTAAATGTGTCTAGGCTATAGAGGAACGGAATGACATTGAGAGGCAGCTTTTGCAAGAACAGAATGCCAGAATCCTGCAGGACCAGATTCTGGCAAATCATCTTCACAAACAAAAGGAGCTAAAAATGGCACAAGAGAAAATCAGTTCTCAGGTACTGTCTTCAGTCTCTTCCATTTTAGACTTTAGTCTCTGTATATGTATTTGTATGTGTGCATAGCTTTTAAAAACAATTAAAGGGCTCATGAAAAGTACAGAGCACTTTTCAAAATTCTCTGTGGCTATACTTACTAATACACAATTTGATATGGGAATGGCTTTTTCAGAAAGTTGGATAAAGTAATGTTAATTCAAGTCCAACTGTTTACAATACAGTAATGAAATTCACAGTGGCCTTGTCTAAATGTTCATTCATGACAATTTTAGGCAGCATAGAGTAATGTCTTTCACAGTGGTCAAGGGCTTTAGTATTTCCCATAGGATTCATTTTTTCATGGTCACAAAAATCTTACTGTTACTGATAACAATGTATCAATCATCTGCATTGGGACTGTGTTTTCTCCCTCTTGATCTGTTAATGGACAGATCTGCTTATTTGTCCCAACATTTGATAAGGAGGAAAGGCACAATCAGCAGAGATCATGTTTCAGACATCATTTCCTTCTTTTCCAGAAGAGATTCCCTCCAAATCTTTATTTCAGCACAAAGAGCTTTTGACAGCAATGATACATTGTAGTGTAGACAGAGAACCCCGCTGAAGCTAAGTCTCACCTAGAACAAAAACTTTGGTTTCTGTGCTGTGATTTCTACAGTGTGGTGGCTGGAGCCCAGGTGTTTGCTGCACAGTTTTTCTCACAGCGAGGCAGATCCCTAAGCTCAGAGCTGGACCTATTTATTCCATACAGATATTTCAAGATAACACTATAGAAAGGTATATACCCTTATATAAAGGGTATATAAAGGGTTTATATAAGGGTATATACCCTTAAATAAAGATAACACAATAGAAAGGTATATACCCTTATATAAAGGTATATATAGAAAGGTATATACCACTATAGAAAGGTGTATATATATATATATATATATATATATATATATATATATATATAAAGTTATTATACCCTTCTCCAAAGGTATTTAAAGGATGTGAAAGATAAGGTATTTCCCTTTCATTCTAGGTGTATTTTGAAGCACATAAATAGTAGGAACAAGTTTTTAATACTTATATTCAAAGTAAATCAATGAGAAATTAAAAATAGATTTTGTCACTGGAGTGTTAAAAAGCAACTTTATTTAGATATAACAGATGTAATGCTAAATAGTTTATACATTTGACATATAGAATTCACTGTTTCTTAATATACACACAGTTTCATAACTACTTCCAGTATCACAAGCAATTTTAGGGCATTTTCATTACTTTGAAAAAGAATCCATACACTTTTTATCTGGGAAACCTCTAGTGACTGGTCCCTCCTTTGTCTTCTGTGCTAACAACCCACCAATTTGTTCCTTGTCTCCTTAATGTCGTTTTAATGTCCCAGATATAGTCCTTTTGTGTGTCTTATTTCTCTTAAAATAATGCAACTTATATAATTTCAGGTGTCGGTCGTTTTCCTTCTGTTTATTGTGTATCTGTGCCACTTACCCACTCACCGGCTGAGAGATGTCAAGGGTCCACTTGCTGGCTGTCTTAGTTGCTTCTCTTTTGCTGGGAAGAGACACTATGACTAGGGCAACTTACAGAAGAAAGGCTTTATTGGGGCTTACAGCTTTAGAGGCTGATTCCATGTCCATCCTGTTGGGGAGCATGGCAGTAGACGTGGCGCTGAAGTAGTAGCTGGGAGCTTGCATGCCTATCCATGAGAAGAAGGCAGAGAAAGACACACACACACACACACACACACACACACACACACAGAGAGAGAGAGAGAGAGAGAGAGAGAGAGAGAGAGAGAGAGAGAGAGA